AATTGCTTACTGTGCTTGATGAGGTATGTCAAATTCGATTACTTAGTTGTATCCCAAGTGACGAATATGAGTACATCAAAGTGTCTCGGTAGGTAGAATGGACGGTCAAATAAAGTGGCTTATTACATTTCAGCCAGTTTTTCTTAGAAATCAAGGCTCCGGCTTTTATTAAGGCTTTTAAGCCTCTTGTGAAAGCCAGTGCCTTGTATATGCACGTAAATCTATTTTTCTTACATCCTGTTAATGTAACGTTATCTCGCTTGTATAATTAGACCCATCTCTCGTCTCTGGATTATGTTTTAAGTATTGTCTTCAGTATTTACATGACACAGTACGATGGAAACGTTGTTATAAAAAAAGATTTGCAAGACAACGGAGATTCCTCAATTACCGTATAAATGTTTCATTCAATGGTAACCGAGACCATGGTATGTCTTGTTTGTTCTTATCTTTTTAATCATATGTGCGGCTGTCTTTAAAATGTCATAATTCATTTACCGTTATATTGGATGCTAGTTCAAGAAAAGAAAGAGATTTATGGAGCTTCTAGATTCGCCAATGAATAATATTTGCTAATATTTATAAAATCTGACAGTTATAAAATTTGACATGAAATTGTTTCGATTTCTGGTGATTTTCTGTGATTTGTCACGCCTATATTTCTATAAACAGATATCTTCTCTGGAGATTATAAAATGGTTCAAGAGCTCTGTTAAGTTTTAGATACTTCAGCTGTTGGCTGGAAATTAACATTACGATAACTATCAATTTTCGACTACGGAGTCATATTGGTAAAGGATAATGAATGGGCTGATAAAGCAGTCAAAACTGCTCTACAGTTACCGGTTTCCGAATGGAGGAATCAATAAACTAAGTTCAAATATTTTGGAGATTGGCATCTTGGTCATACTTGGCAAAATATCAGAGCATCAAACCCACTACCGAAAAATGGAGTCCCTCGTATGCAGAAGAGTGGAGTCCCTGGTGTTCTGAAGAGTAGAGTCCCTCGTGTACTGAAGAGTTGTGTCCATCGTGTACTGATGAGTAGAGTCCCTTGTGTACTGAAGAATGTTGTTCATTTTATACTGAAGAGTAGAGATCCTCGTGTACCGATGGGTGAAGTCCTTTGTGTTCTGAAGTGTGGAGTCCCTCGTGTTCTGAAAAGTGGAGTTCCTCGTGTACTGAAGAGTGGAATCCATCGTGTACTGAAGAGTTGTGTACATCATATACTGAAGAGTGGAGTCCCTTGTTTACTGAAGAATGGAGTTCCTTTTCGTACTGAAGAATGTGTCCATGGTATACTGAGGAGCGAAGTCCCTCATGTACTGAAGAGTGAATTCCTTCGTGTATTGAACAGTGAACTCCCTCGTGTACTGAACAGTGTTGTCCATCGTGCGAATCACGTAGATAAGGCAGTATTGTATCGATCACATATGGAACAAACGTGTCCGAATGATGCATACCTTCTAAAGGGTGAACCTCAATCAGAGAGCATTCAATACCAGTGTCCTGTAACTGCGGACCCCATCTTGGTTGACTTTGTCCGTTTCTACCCTTGAGTCAGCATTATTTTGACATGAAATGACATAAAGCGCGTTCAGAATGTCAATGATTATGTACCTCCCGAGAATGTCATGTACCTTTAGAGTGACTGATGTCTATACAATAATTATCATTTGCTGTAAGGATTTTACGTATATTACCATTATCATTTCATTATATATTTATTTTACAGAAGGTTTAGATCTTTGTGTTTTATCTGTTGTTATTGTTGTTGTTGTTGGGCTTAACGCCATTTTTCAGCACACGGTGGGCTATACATAGCGGCCAGTATTTATGGTGGAGGAAGAAACTGAGAAAACAACGGAAAGAAACACCGACCCACGAGACGCTACTGGCAATCTTTCTCACATATCCACATTCGCCGAATCTTTTGTCTTGATCTTCATGTTTACATTAATTTAAAAAGGTTTCTTTTCCCAAATTTTGTGCCCTTTATTTGACATTCTTCAAGCTTTGCCTTTAGTAAGTACCATGTAGCCACTTTTGTTCTGATGTCTCATGCAAAATGCTGCTACATGCGTGCTCTTTCCTGTTTCACTTTTTTTTTAATCACAAACTACGTATATTATAAGATTAACCGCGGTAACGAATCTTCGAAAATTGGAGCCGAGGTGGGGGGGGACCAAACGAATACTTGCTATGACCTGTCAATATTTTCTTTCAAAAAAAAAATATCACCTTTTTTTCCTAGCATGTCAATGTTTTTTGTAAAGAATATATTCAAAGTTAATAGCCGTTTTTCATTAACCATTCTGATGCAAATCCAAACTTTGTATTTATTGTACCAACATTTACAGCAAAATAAAATAATAACTTAAACTAAAATTATATGCTAAGACCTGAAGTTCTTAATAAACCAAGAGATGCTCTGAGATTTTTTGCATACTTGAAAATAGAAATATATGCAACAAAGACGCATGCCATGGTGAATAGCTGTCACTTCCTATTCAACGTGGTAAATCTGTACTTTAGTAAAATATGTGTTAGGTTTACTTTTACTATTGTCGTTTGAAGTGAGATTACCTTTCTAAATAGATGAGTTCTACAAAGGTTATCAATTACCTTTTACATCCTGAAAACCTACACCCACCCACCGCTTGCCATAATGTCGAAAATCCTCTATTACCACATGCTACAAACTACCGTTCTCACCTAAAACCTCTTGCTCCTTTTGATCGTCACATTTAAAAAATATTCAATTATTTCATACTGCAAGCAGCAAACGGATGAGATGCATATCTGCAAGCAGCAAACGGATGAGATCCAGATCTGCAGCCACATAATAAGATAACAGTTAAGGGTCTTCGCAATTAATACAATCAATAATTACATGCGAACAGAGAAGAGTCTAATCACCATGCACATTTTAGAAGGAAGCTGTTGTTCTGCGTTGATCATAATTAATATACCTTATGACGGGTACATTTATGGAACATTTTCAGGTTATTATAATAGTTCTTTTGATTCGAAACAGTTGTTAAAAATCTAACTTTAAGCAAAATCCACCTGTTTAAAAAAACATTAAAACTAAAAAAAAAAAATTGTGTAATTTCTATTGGCATACGTATCTGACGCAAATATTTTGGAAATTTCATAATTTGTTTCAAAAGTCTTCTATCTCATGGCCTAGTGGTTAGAACGTATGCCTCGGATGAGAAAGGTCGTGGGTTCGATCCCACGCTGGTCGCCATGCATAGCCTATCTTGTGCTGAAAAATGGCATTAAACCCTATAACAACAAGTTCTATAAATATTAATCTGCCGAACTTTCGATGATATTAAACATACCTTCTTAAAACCTGCTTTCTGAAAAAGAAAACTATTTTAAATTAGCTTTCTGTCATAAATATATTTCTATGGAAATGGTAAAGATATTGATTTTGTTTAAACATAGGAAAAATGTTGTAGCTGTGATGTCTTTCCGCTATTCTATGAGAAAATACATCTCGCAAGGTAAAAAGATACTTCCGATCCGTTGCAAGTTATACTTGCCACTAATTATTAATTGTAAATTAAGTGAAGCGTGACATGGTCAGAAACGGCGTGTTTAATACGTACAAGTGTATACGACTTCGTGTTCTTCAACAATGCGAATTATATGGTATACAGATTTTGCCATATTTTGGGAAAGAGCTTAAACTTATCTGCTTATATACATAATGGCGGTATTTTAATGACATTTCTTGCATTTGTTAAATATTGATTGATTTTGTTATATGAGTGACATTTGAAGATGTGGGGTCAGTCATTGTGCATCGTACTCCACTCAAAGCCATTTGCAAAGATTTATGGGTGGGGTAGAAAGAAGAAATAATAATATAATGAGACGATTTAATCACATTGGTGGTCTACATTATATGTAGACAAGCCATAAATAAGTTGTGTGTATATTAGTGACAATATTATGAACTCACCATATCAGTTGATAAAGACGCAAGGCATAATTGTCGACTTGAAAGTTGCCAGCACTTTTTCTCACCACTTTTCGGTTCACTGTAACAAGAAAAAGCATTTGTTCATTACGATAATAACATTGCTATTTTTCAGATAAAACGAAAATAGACATTCTAGAATGATAGAATCTAGGATGTGTCACATCTTGCACCCCATTGCCATTAAATCTTACTCTGTTTTAATGTGGGGGTACTGATACTCGAAAATGGTTGTGGGCCTGTTGCCATGCATACTGAAAAACATTAAGAGGATAGCATTTTATGGTGGACTTGCCACAAGAGATGAATTGAATACAACCAGATAAGTACATAGATATATAAGTGATATGCAGCACGTGGGAAACAATATATGAACATGGATCATTACAGTATTCCAAACTGTTTGGCTTGGAGATCATAATGCTTGTCACTGGCATATTCTCCCTTGTCTTTTATTAACAGCATTTTCCAAAGTTTTTAACAAACACCACTTTTTCTTGCTATTCAGTAAAATAAGGACAAGTGTCGGTAATATTGTTGCTTAATTGCAAATAAACTCCATATTGATCCACAGTCTTTTGAAATCTGCTGACCAAACGGTATGGAATTTTTATTTTAATGTATTCTTTCAAAATATCACTCATAAATGTTACATAACATTTTAGTGAAAGATGTAGGAAAACTATTACCATTTATATCGATATCTTCGATTTCTGCTATTGTATTACGTGAATTCCTGTGTTTATAGTAGGGATCATTTACAATTAGATAGTGAAAATTTAAAAAAAAAATCGGTTAGGGAAACATAACTTTTTTATATGAGATTTCGTATTGCGCGCCCGCGCGTGTGTTTGTGTGTGATTTAGATTTTTAACTTAGACATCTGGCATGATGTCCCACCCAGTCACATTATCCTGACACCAGGCCGACCAGTCCTAACAAAAAACCTCTTAATGCTGAGGGCCAAGCGAGGCAGCCGTAAGTATAATTTTTTTTGTCTTTGGCATGACTCGGCTGGGGTTTGAACCCGCGACTTCCCGCATCTGAAGCGGACGCTCTAGACACTAGGCCACCTGAGCGGTTATGATTTCGTATTTTCCTACATAGAAATGCACTTTTATGAACTGGCGTGTCTATCATTCATAGCATGGGAACCTAGTACGTCATGGAGAAGAGGCAATTACATTTTTCAAATTGAAAATTTTTGTTTAGCGCTTTTTTGCCCTCTGTAGTGAATTGTTAAGGTGGTGGGGTCTTAAAACCAGCCAGTTGAGGTACAGAACAGTATACGATGTCATACATTTTTAATGTATGAAAAGAATCCAGGTTTCCTAAATAGTTATAAAAATATATTAGACCAATTATGCAACTATGCTACACTTACTTGATATTGTAAAAAATTATGATAAAAAGTAAAAATGGGTTATAATATGAATCCAACAGGTTATATGATACACTCTAATACTAACATCGAAATTATCATAAGCTCCAGAGAATGACATCGACATAAACTGGATACTAACAAGTATTTTCAAGGGTTAGTATTAAATAATTTACCAGTTAAGGCATGGTCATCAAATGATATTCTAATTACTTATACTGTTTTGCAGATGAGAAATGTTGAGTTATGGTTTATTATGGCAGATGGATCAAGATAAAATCAATTAAGTTGGATGAAATGCATAAAGCCTATGGACACGTGAACGGTATGTATTGCTAACATGACAATGAACTTTGTTACCATTGGACTAGAACGGCCTTGAAGCATACCTATACATTTAACATACAAATCGGTTTTTATTGTGGTAGTACATTTTCAACATTTGTACTGTAACAGATTATATTTCACAATATAAAATATAACGTTTAATATTTATTGATTGCATGAAAATATACATATATGGAAATACCAGATAGAGGCACCGACAGCCTGAGGATAAATTCCAAGTATAAGCAATTTTCTGGATGATTTAAACAATTTCTGACAATTCAAGGAAATACACACAAGCTATCTAAGATAGTTGGATGAAAATGCAATGATTTAATCGGTGTATTCACTAGAGATGAAAGACTGAGCGTAAAAATTCCCTTTTGGTGTCAGAATTGGTGTTCAGACTGAGTAAAAATAAACAAAAAAAAATTGGCATCCAATCTGCTGCTCAAATTAAAATTTTGGGGGTCCTTGAAGCACAAATTAGAATAAAGACAAATACTGTTTAATACTCTTTTGTGCAAAACTATGTAAATAACGATACTTGTTAAATTATGGAAGAATTATATTTTCGATGCCTTTATAGAGTGTATCACTAGATGAACTTAAATACCAATTTTGCGTAAAGATATCAGTATGCCTTTGTTTTAAAACTTGTAAAATAAACATCGATCTTTAACTCCATGATTTAAACAGCACTTTCACATATTCTTCTTGAGCGAATTGTTTTCCTTGTCTTTTACCACAAGGTTAGTAACAATTCGTCCTAATCTGGGATCAAACTCTACCGCTTCTTTTGTATTTCCTCACACGACCCATCTAGCTCACCTGTTTATTCTTGCCATCTACTTATGTCATAATTGGATTTTTTGGCTTTCAAAGAAACTTGTCTCAGTTCATACTTTACTTTCTATGACATTTACCATTGTCACAGTTCAGTTAAAGGCGACAAGATCTTAAACCCAATGAATTAGAGTGTTAATGGATCAAACTTTCACGTGCAGCACTGTTAGACCTCTTAATGAAAGCAACGCATATACTGGGGATGGAAGACTCCATTCATTCAAATGTTGATAATGCATATACTTCAGTGATGGAAGACTCCATTCATTCAAATGTTAATAATGCATATACTTCAGTGATGGAAGACTCCATTCATTCAAATGTTAATAGCGCATATACTTCAATGATGGAAGACTCCATTCATTCAAATATTTATAACGCATATATTTCAATGATGGAAGACTCCATTCATTCAAATGTTGATAACGCATATACTTCAGTGATGGAAGACTCCGTACAGGTTCTAATGTTGATACATGAATTAAAAATATACTTGCAATAGACTGATTTAACTTCAGTATGCGAAATCACTCTCAGGTAAAAGCAATAGGCTGATTTAACTTCAGTATGCGAAATCACTCTCAGATGAAAAATGAAATCATTATATATAACAAGTCTTCCAGACACATATAAATTAATAGACATGCCATTTCACTAAACGCTCATCAGTGTTGTTTGTTCAATTACTTTTTAGCGAAGAATGACAATTTAATTCTCATCGGGGTGGGGGTTCCTTTCTAAGCATTCCCGATATTGCCCTATTTAATGGAGTATGCAATTTCGGAAATGAAAAGAGTTAATCGTTTCCATGACATATAATGGAAATACGGCGTAAGCTTCTGATAACCAAAAGCATCTAATCCCGTCTGGGATTGCTTGAAATATGACTTTACTGACAAATATGCTAAAAATATCACCGATCACATAGTCTTGATATTTGAGCTATGTATTCCGAACAGATCTGTTATTATCTAAACTCTCGGACTGTTTCAATCCCTCGAACCGTGTACTAATTTAACTTCAGACACATTAAGGTAGGATGTTATAACGTTTCGATCTATGAAATGAAGATTAATATTTTCGATATCATTAATAAATTTATTGAAACGTCATAAAGACTTACACATTCGTACCTATTACTAATACAGATACAGTTCTATAGCCCTTCAACAGACCTAAACAGCAAGGACCGAACATCACTTCTGCAACGTCCTGCTCTAGAAACAAGCACTGTTCACTTTTAATCACTATTTTCTTCCTTTCGTTTTTCTTCCTCTTTTCATTCCTCCCTTTTTTCTCAACTTTATACTCCTCGACTGCACATTTTAATTAACAGTTTTCTTTTTCCGTTTTTTCTTTCTTTTCTTCATCCTCATCATTTACCAAATCCTGTATACTTGGCTAAATGATAATGTTTAGCTAGCAAACTATTTGTTATTGCCTCTCAGCATCACCTGCCGTATATTCACGTATATTTTCAATGTCTATGCCGTAAAAGAAGACGAAGTTTAACAGCAATTTAATTTCTTTCTAATTCTTTACCTTCTACATTGTACATCTTGTAATATTCAACTACAAATGAATGTGTACTTAACTCAGTGATTAACGATACCCATTGCATTTGATTTAAAAAATATCACGTGACTGATATCGGGTAGTTTTCTGGCAATATTGTTGAGGGTGGTGATATCTGTAGCGATGTTCAATAGTCGGTATGCATTAAGATTAATGTTGCATTCATTGAATGATTGTTTGTTTGTTTTGTGTATTTAACGCCATTTTCAGTACTTGTAGTCTATACATGTCGGACAGTATATTTGGTAGTGGAAGAACCTGGTGAAAACCAGGAAAGAACCACCGACCCATGGGAAGATACTAGCATGATTTCTCATATATTTACATCGACCAAGCTGAGACACGAACCCATGCGGACAGAGGTGAGATCTTATTGATTTGTAAAGACGATTGCCTTAGACTACTCGGCTACCCGGGCATGAATGGTGTATTATTTAACAGCAGGAGTAATACAAACATGACAGTTTGCGGTGATTTATGTATTTCATGGTGATACGGTTGACTCAATGCGCAGGAGATGTCCCTGTCAAGGTGATTGCTGTGATTTGTGAGTCAAAGTAAACGACGAAATTAAATATTAAAAATTGGTTTGGACATTAATCTATGCAATATGAATCATTATAGGCTTTTGCTCTTACAAAATGATTGAACTGGGGTCAAATGTCCGATGAGGAATTTAGAGAATGAGGAAATAACTGAAAAATTGATTTTATGACGATAAAGAATGTTCTCTCCTTTGGGCATATACACCTTGAAAGATAACATCATGTCGGAAAACGAGGATCGGATGGCACAAAATCTAGACTGATTCTTGTTGCTGTTAGAGATCAGAGATCATCTTGCATAATCTAATAATGTGGTTTGATATCTCACATTCGAAACAATATTCTTACAGCAGGATTAATTAAGACACAAAAGATGCATAGAATAAAACTTTATTTCTATGCTTGTGTTATATTTCGTCGACGAGATTAAGTGAAGGTGCGTTTCACGAGATCTCCCCAGTTGACGATAAGGATCGCCTTTTACTCGACTTTTAGGAAAAGCTTAATTGATTAAATGTTATCAAGTTTTAAATGGTTTTGACATTTTATTTTACATGATTCAAACATTTTATCAGTTATTTGCTTTTCACTTTGTTCTAAAAAAAACTTTTATCTGTTGAAAGTAAATGTGATAATTTTGCAATTCTTGACAAACATATATTAGCGGAGTCGGAAAAAGTAAATGGTATTAAAGTTAACTATATTCAGTTGCGAAGTGCGTGCTGGCATGACCTTGAGTCCTAAAAGACTGGTGTCCTAATTTTTAACTCGTGCGATCTTTTCGTACACGTTGCCCCAGATCTCGTTGAATAATTAAATATCAAAATCAACAACAGGAGAAAAGAAAGAATATATACTTTGGTTTTCAAACGGCCAGGAGACGATAGGTAAAAATAAACTTATCAACTAGTCATGAAGAATACATTTAAATAGATTTATATTCTTCTCAGGACTTCTGCAGTAAATGTTTTTGAAACTAAAATACAATCTAAACTAAGAAAATATATTTCAGTCTGATAACGTCATAGGTCAGCAGAATTAGTGAGAAATTTACGAATATGATAAAGCAAAATACAGTGTTAGATTAAAAGTCAACAATTAAGCTCTGTTTATCCACTAATAAGTGTCTTTTGAAATTTGTTTCAACCATTTCAAACTTACATACATACATACATACATACATACATACATACATACATACATACATACATACATACATACATACATACATACATACATACATACATACATACATACATACATACATACATACGTACGTACGTACGTACGTACGTACGTACGTACGTACGTACGTACGTACATACATACATACATACATACATACATACATACCTACCTACCTACCTACCTACCTACCTACCTACCTACCTACCTACCTACCTACA